GCACCAGCTTGCAGCATTACGATAGCCTTCCAATGCATTTCAGTCTTGCAAATAGCGTCTTTGGCTCATGCTTCCCGCTTTGACTATCTCGGAATACACGGTATAGAGTCATTATGTCTTTTTAAAGCAGGAGACGTGAAAAATGTGCAGTGACCTCCCTGGGACTCAAACCCTAGACCTCTCGAATACGCGTAGAGTATGCTTTCAATTACACCCCGAAAGTATACGGAAAGGAGGGCAAAAATACCTTATAAGGTATCTGTCCTGCTTGCGAACTGACACATAGTTCCGGAATGCCGCTTTTTAAGGCGTTGTGGTGTGACTGCGCGATTGCGTTTTATGATAACTTAGGTTGCCTATTTGCTTTCGATGTCGCCTCTACCTCGTATGTGAACTATATGTTTTAATTACCCTTTCTACGTTCGCGCCTTTTCTTTTAGCGCTTGATGATTATTTTTTTAACACAAATGTATTATTCCTCTATCTTATTAGTTACTATTCATTGACATTTTAACTGAAATGTTTGAAAGTGTTTTTTGACATTTCCTTTTAAATACTATCATCCCGCTATTCTTTATCATACTATGCATGTATTAAATTTGTTACAGGAAATCCTTCACTATACGTAAATAGCTGGCTTAACTCTGAACCAAACCCTATTTTATAATAAGATAGAATTGTAAACGGATAATATAACGAAAATCACTATTAAATGAACATAATATACTTCTTATGAAATTAAATTTTTCTTACAATTATTAGATAAGAATTAATTGAAAAAAAATTTAAATAGCTGTCGTAAACCTAATATATGTAATACGAACTAACATTTATGTCGAACGTGATTTTCCACTGAATTCTGCTACAAAAATGTTTCTACATAATGTGAAATTATTAAAACTTTATTTGTTTATGATTTTCTAACGCAACCAGATATTAATGTTAAGCTTTATACCAGAATAATAACTACAACTTCAAATTGAGGGGAGGTGTAGGAACGTTTAGCAAGTATTTCATTTATATATTTCTATTCTTCCATGTTTTTAAGATTTTCTTCCTTTATTTCTTTTACTAAAAGTAACCGAAAAAGATCGCATTCTAATTCGTTCAGTTTTAAAAATTTTTCATTTGATTTCATCTCCCTTTCCGAGGTATTATCATAAGCACTAGAATGATTGCCAACTATATGACCTGGATAGATTCCAAGCATCAAATTAGCTATTCTTAAGCGTTATTACATCCATGACAATACACCTAAAAAAAAGAAATCGTACACTTCGAATGTAGAATAATTTACTGGGTCACGAATTTAGTTTTACTCGTTTACGGATATTTTAGTATTTTTGCTACTTATCTAAAAAACCAGTTTGTAAATCATACTTTTAATTCAGACGGTTACAAAATCGTTCGTCAAATCCCATCTCAAAATCTTTCAGTTAAAAAAGAAATCATAATACGTTTTACTAGTTTGATTTTGCTCGTTTTCTAATTAACAGATGGCGAATATTTAGATGTAAAACCATAAAAGTAAACACATAAAAAAAAATTCATTGTTACTATTTATAGTAGACATACAAGTCAGCAATTTACAGCAGGCAAACTGGTTATCTTTTGCTCATCACAAAGGATTTTTCTGAAGATTATATGTGAAATCACTCCAAAATATCCCGAATGTATTAACTAAAGGTTAACTAGTGAGGTTTCTGTTTGTGTGTGGCCAGTTACCTTTACACTTACAAGGCCGCGTGAATAATACCATTAGACATCAATATATCAAACAGATCTATTCCTAGCGGCTGAACGCGCAACAGCACGGGACGTAAATATAATTTCCCTTGAATAATGTAATTATGATCTAGTTACTCTTAGAAAACACTTCACGATGGCATCCTTTTCGAGGAAACATATTCTTTAGTGTTTTTCCATAATATATGTCATTATATTTTGAACCAAAAATAAGATCCTAAGGTCTTTGTGTAAAAGTGTGAACACTTAAATGCAGATGAAATGCGTCTTTCGTCTTTTATTTGCGAAATGTTAAGCATGCGATGCCTTCTGTCAATAGTGAGGATATCCATAGATTTTACTGAGAGCAATATAGTGTTGCTGATGAAGACATGAAAATGTTAAAATAATTATTAAACTGCGTTTTCTTAAAAAGGAAATTTGTAAATCATAGATAAAGTGATTTGCGGCTAAGAGATCCAATGCTGAAAGAAATTTGTTGATTTCTGAAATTCGTTGATTTGTTGATGCTGAAAGAAAGATTGTTTGGGTTAGATTTATTGCGATATACAGAATATTCTCACCACTGGCGTACTATTGGGCGGTTTAAGACAGAGGAGACCATTGATGAAGTCGCTAGCTTTTCTTCCTAAGGACCATTTTCTAATATCTTGTTTATGAAAATAATCCCAGATAACTGAGACAGATCTTCGGAGAGATTCGTTCTAATTCAGTGTAAAGGCGCAGCATCGTCTGGTGATATGTGTACTTCGTTGAGGGAACTTACCGGCAGTTAGCGCGTTATAGGAAGCGTAATAAAAAAGTCGTCTCCTTGGAGTGCATAAAAAGACTCATATGCTTAAGGGGAAAAAAAAAAAAAGATATCACGAATTTGTGTCTCTTTGAGACTAAGGATAAAGAAGCATGAATGCGCCCTTGAGCATACGATATGGATAGGAGCGAACTGATATGCTCTCCTCAGATATGTCAAAACGTACCATAGAATAACAAATGCGTAGGGATCTTAAGGCAAATACCGCAACAATCTTGTAAAACGCCACGTCTTTAATTGAAGCAGTTCCTATGGAATATCGACCGATCAGCACTAGTTCAGAAGGGAGAATGCAACAGAAGATATGTATCAAGATCACGTTCATGAATCCTTTGTTACATTCTGCGTTGTAGAAGTGAGTGCAGAATCTCTTTAGATGTACGATAACTCCCCCCCCCCTCTGTACAAAACAACGATAGTAGGTGATTACTTTGACAGCGAAAGTGCTGCATACAGTAGTAAATATATTCCCTGAACTTCCAAGGAAAATGTTAATAATCCATTTGGATGCTATGTCTCTGCCTATCAATTAATAAATGGGTTAATTCCCAATGGCTGAAAGTAGAGCCTTTTTTCTCAAGAATGGTTGTTATTACTCTTTGCGGCATTAAATTATTCAAAGAATAAAACATAAAAGCAAAGTCACATCCCATGTAATGTCATTAGACTTATTTCGGAGCAGGAAACGCGAACAATCAGCAATAGATTCGAACTCCGGCTCTCCCGACTGCTAGACGGACCTACTGCCAATAACACCAAGAATGCAAGCAGTAAACAAAAGCAGAAAATGCCTTACATTCATATTTAACCCTTGTCTGTTTCAATATTGTAACAAATACAACTTTTCCCGAATGTGCACTATTTAGGTAAGCATTCAAACAATTAAAATTTAATAATCATATTTTTCCACCTAACAGTTTACTGTGAAATTTAGATTCAATCAAATATAACAATATTTATATCTGGTTGAATGCATTTCCCAGGGCTCAACTTTCGAAAGGTAGCGTATTTAACACCAGTAATGGTTTAAAGTGTTTCAGCTCAATGCTTGTTAATATCGTGGCCTTCGAGATTAGATGGCCTGGTCAGCTGCAAAATCACGTGATTTGATGTCACGTAAGGCGTCTGCAGTTACGTTGATTGCGTACTGTGTATTTTTATTATTCGTGTCTTTTTTATTGCTAAATTTAAGTAATGTTGTTAAGGATATTTTCGTTTTTAAATTGAGATTACTAGTTAACTTATTGTTAACAAGAATAACGATCGACGTCTACGTAGAGCTGTCCTTCATCATGCCTGCACGATGTTGCGTTCGAGCATGCAAATCCAATTACGATGGCACTAATGAATATGTATCAGTATTCAAATTTCCAAAAGATACAGTAAAACGGGATTTATGGATCTAAAAAAAAATTCCGAGGAAAAATTTTATTTCAAGTGATCGCAGCGTTGTGTGTGAAAAACATTTCGAAAAGATGATATTATTCGCTATGATTATTTACCAACAAACGAAGGTACTTTTATTCAGATGTGTAAAAGGCATCCTAAATTAAATTACCCATGCATTTTTTCTAGTTGTCCAAAATACTTATCTGAAAGTCCAACCCCTCAGAGGATGAGCAGGGAGGAAAAAAGAGCTAAGATGGAGAAGCATATTTTTAATGAATTTTTGAGAAAGGACAAAATAGCATCATTTGAGGATTTTTCTTCTATGTTACCAAATAAATTAAATATTTCAGATACTTCAAATATTATTTTACACAAATCTGTTGCTGGTATTTATATTTTATTGCTCAGTTTTCATCTATATCCTTAAATTGAGAAAAGTATCTTTGTATCGCTTCATATAAATATAGCAGTTTATCTAGGAGATAAAATTGTTCCAGTTTGAAAGTAAAGAAGAACCAATAAAGAAGTTGAACAGCATTCTTTACTTGTCAAACTTACTGAGATACATATACAAAACATTAACATGTTTGATCAAACAACTCAAACAACCTCCAACCTTGCAATTTGTAGGATACCTATAAATTGCAACAAAAGTTATAAATTAAGTCTATTGAGAATTTTAACACGTCGACCAGCTCTAGTAACAAAATCTAGGATTTTAGGTGATGAATCATCATCTTCACTGGAATCTGAAGCATTGGCTGCAGGGCGTAGAGGCATATTCGTAGAGGCACTTTATCCCTTCGATTCAAACTGATTTGTAAAAATGCTTTTTTGATGTCTGACGTTACGCCAATTGCGTTTTTTCGAAACTGCATTATCAATTTGGGTACCAATTCTAATAAATTTGGCCCCTTTTCTAAACAATTATTCAAGGAATTTCCTTTGGAATCTTTCGTCGACGCATCAAAAACCGCACGAATTTTTGTTGTTGTTACACCAGTTTTTATCACAGGATGATGTGGTAAATAGTGTCTCTTTTTCTCGTCTTTATCTACAATTTCAATAATTCCATCCCGAACCCACTCATGAAACACATCATCGTATTAAACACATCTTTTAAATGTCCAGATCGTATGAGATTTTTGGTAGTTGACATTAACCGTTTAGTGACTAATTCCTTATTCGTTTCTAATTCTGGACGTCCACTTTTCCATGGCAAACATACTTCATATCTTTTGTCTTCGTTTCTTTTAATAGTTTTACGGAAGAAATCTACCGTTTCTTCATCGGTTACCTGCTTTGACTTTACTTCTGCAGGACATCTTATACCGATGACATCTAGGCTCCATAATTCCGTCAAATCTAAATTATTAGCATATACAATACTCTCCAAAGATTTTGAGTAGTTTCTTTGTTTACCTTGAAGCGTCCATCCAAGTTTTGTTTTAATAGCTACCAAATTATTATCAATGGGCTCAATTCTCCCAGTCAATAATGCGCCAAGATAATCAGCTCCTATTAATAAAACTATTTCAGGCACATATTCTCCTGTATCACTTAAATGCGTATATTTTCCTTTTCAAAAATTGGATAAATATTCAGGGATCCTCTACACGTGGGAATTGCACCACATATCTTCTTTTCGTCCAAAACTGAAATAGTGTACTTGAAATTTGAACACAAGCTTTGTAATGTAATATTGTAGACATTATGGGACTCTTGTTTAGTTTCACTGCCCACCAAAAGTCCATGACTCATCATTTCTTGATCTACAAGTTTCAATCCTAGTTTCTCCGCAATATCTTTTCGTATGAAAGATCTCTGAGCACCAGTATCAAATAATCCACGAACGATTCCGGACTTGTCACCATTGATGATTTTCACCAATACAGTTAACAGTAACGTTGGAGAATTTTTTGGTGACAAAAGAACCTGTGCATCCGATTCAGATTGTTTGTCTTGTTTTGATTGATTTATATTTGGACACATAATGCTATGGTGTTTTTTCTTGCATATAATACACTTTAAATAAACTTTGCAGATCTTAGAATTGTGTCCTGGTTTCAAACAGACGAAACAAGCTCTCCTTTTCTTCAATGTTTCACTTTTCGCCTCCAATGACATCTCGGCAGCCTAAAAACATTCTGAAGTATTATGAAACGACTTATTACAAAATAAACAATGTTTGTCATTTTTCTCAGCTCTTTGCTTTTCATTAGATACAATACAAGCTGCAGTAGGAATTTTTTCTTCGTTTTAAATTTTTCAAATTGATCATTCGCAAACCCTGATCGAGCAAGTTGTAATCGCTCTTCACTTTCGACTTCCAAACGAAGAAATTCTAATAAATTTCCTAACATGTTCATCTTGTCTTTATTTTCTACACGGTTATGTGTGCGTTCCCACTCCTTGATAAGAGCTTCTGGCAGAGCTGATTCTACAAAAGGCTATAACATTGCTTCATATTTTTCAGACGTAACCCCTAAAGTCTCTAATGCTCGCAGCTGCGTCTCCAATTTATCATAAAGAATCCGCAAAGTAAAAGTTTCGCCACTTTTCGCTTGCGTTAAAACTAGATTTAAAAGTTCACGAACATAAATTTGAATTAATAGTTCATCTTTAGCAAAACGAGATTTCAGCTGTTCTATAGCATTATAATAGTTTTCGCCAAATGGTGGAAAACTTGCAACTAAATCTCTAGCCGATGAACCTTCTTCAGTTGCTTGTAAAAGATACTGAAATTTATCATCTGCATCAATGCTATCATCATCATGAATCTTTTTAAATTGTCCCAAGAATCCTTGCCAGTTTTTAATATTACCATCAAAACGTTTCAATTCTAACTTAGGAAGACGGAAATTTCGCTTGGTTTCATTTACTACACTGGAAATATCCCCCTTTCTTTCAGTGGTTGATAACATTAAATCAACTTTCGTTTTCATAGCAACCCACTGATTTCGATAGCTTTCCGTTAAATCCATATCAGAAAATTCATCTTCATTAAAATTTTCCATTTCTAGCCATTTTACTTTAACTTTTTCATCTAACTGAAATAATCTGTCAGCTTTATCGCTAAATATATTAAATACAGATATCAAATCAATCTTACTGCTTCATCTTTTAGAACAGTGTCCACTTCTTTCAAAGAAGTTGTGAAATATTGCCGTAATTGTGTTCTTTTCCGTTTTAAATTTTCCAGTCCTGTCGCAGACGACGGCCAATATTTTAAAGGATTCGAAAACAACTTATGGATTTAATATGGAGAAAAAACACTTTAATTGCAGATATTCCACAAAAATTTAGAATCAGTTATAATTATCAAAAAAAAAATAGAACTTATTTTAAAAGCATAAAACTTAAAAACAGAGTTGAGTTGTAGCTAGTATTACTCAAACAAGTAGTATAGTAAATAAATAAAATTTATATATTTAACTAATTTATTTATCTTAATTATTTACATTTTTTCAAATCATAATATTTTTTAAAACATTCTCCTAGATAAAGACCGGGTTTCCTATTACAAGTATCACAATAGAATGCTGTTTCTTTTCAACCTCCTTTGACCTTCTGATTGGAACATACTATACAGTCCTTGTGTTTTTTATGAGAAAAAATAAATGAGTCTTCCCATATAAACATTGGATAGTATCATATGTGTATAATCGGCCGGGTATTTTGTGTAGGAGCACGAAAGTCGTTGATTAGACTCATCAATAAATTTTCTCTAAATTTTGTGTGACATTTTTCTGATATTTTCCTTCGTAGCATATTCATTGAATAAAATGTATAAGCTACCAATGGAAGTTTCCGATCTCCAGAAAAATAACTTTCGCCACAATTTCAAAGTCTTCCTCATAAAATAATTAGTATGTAGCGTACTGATCGGTGAAGTCTACTGCACCCATTCTTTTATTATGATCTAATATGATAGTCGGTTTGTTTATTTTTTTTCACTAGCATTTTCAGTCAGCTTTGATCTTTCTCTGGTAGGTTGTAAAACAGAAGATTGTTTTGTACTAAACATTGTGACCACGCTTTTGTCACGCCATGTTACTTACGTTTTTCCTTTTCTATAAGCGATTTTATGTCCAACAGCTAATTTTGGTTTTTTTATTTGTTTTGGGAATCCTTTTCGATTGGTCATAATTGTTCCAGTAAGACGCAATTTGGTTTTAGAGTTCTGCACCTAAGTGGGGTTCGTATAATCTGTCAGTAAATATGAACCTTTACCTTCAGAATCGAATTTCGTGAATTTCGATAGAGTTGCATCACAATTTTGCTAGTGAAATTAAGGTCTGGTCAAATTAAGCCATCTGTTTATTTTACCATAATATGAACAAAATGTATATGTACGGTGAAACACCGAATCTGGAGAATGTCGACTTTCACCGGTGAATGTCAACATTCACATAGTCGCTTTGGTGTATGTCCGAAATATTTTCCAAATACTCTTATTTCTGACTTACACCGGTCAATGTCGATATTCACCATGTACTAATGGTGAATGTTGAACACATAAGAATATTATATTTTCTCCGTAATTCGGTCTCGAATAAACGCACTTGAGACTTGAAATAAGAACTTAAGAACATGAGAACCTAAAACACACAATACATTCAAAATGAGAAAGGAAAATAATAGAAGTTAAAAACTTACTTAATTATGCAGTACGTTCTAAATGAGAACAGTAATAAAAAACTTACTAAAATTATGTGATTCAAATCTTATTTATTGCAACAACTTAAACTATTGCACTTTATGACCTCTCTTTTCGACTTTCACCAGAGCAACATCTGTGATTGTCGACATACACCGGTGAGGGTCCGAATATACAAGAATGTAGTGAAAAATTCGATCTTACACCGACGTATTTGGTGAATGTTGATATTCTCCGGTGAAAGTCGACATTCTCCAATTTCGGTCTTTCACGGTAACATATATAAATAACTTGTCTTATAATCTGCTAAAACATAAACTCGAAATCCCCATTTTGTTGGTTTTTTTAGGGTTAGACATGAGAAAGTTTATTTTCCCCTTGAACGAGATTCTAGATTCGCCAAATGCCAAATTTTCACGAGGTATATAATTTCCATAAATTTTTGGTTTAGGCAGTCCAGAAAGTTACCCACTCTTTCTGTCCTTGTCCCCGTCTTTTGACTGTTTGGTGAAATTGTTTCTAAATGTAGTGACCAAAATATTTGGAAAAAACGTTTCTGTGAAAAAATGTTTCTAAATAATGACACCTTCATATGAAATTCTTGAGACCAATATGATTCCAAAGTTGGTGAAACAACAAGGCCCATATTTATGATGACCCTAATAAAGGCTTTCATTTCATTCTCATTTACATCTTTCCAATTTGGCCAATTAGAATATTTGCTCGGTCTAGAGCTGATGTGCAGCTGGATTGAACTTATGGCCTAACAACATTTTCACCAACTGAGAATTTTATGTTATGACGATAATTGTCTTCTTCATTTGTCCATAATTTTACATCATTTCCAACAAACTGCTTATTTATATGTAGAAAGAGGTGGTTGCTTATTGCTGTCCTTATTAATCGCTTATAAGTCTTCTAAATTTCTTCTTCTTACAATAATTTCTTCATCAGAATTGATCTTGGTTTGAAAAGGAACCGAAAAAACACTCAGACACTTTTGTAAAATTCGTATCATCTTCCAATAGTTCAAGTTCATTATCTATTTGAGTCATACATTCGTCATCCCTACTTTAATATTCATATTCATAAGTGAATGATTAATTTCTCTTGATTCGAGGCATCTAAATTTTATACTCATTAGTACATAAAATAAATAAATAAATATAACAGTTCAATTATTATTATTTTAATTAAAACATATGTTTTTATGTAAAAAATATCAAAGACGACAAAAATACGATTTTTCTCTAAGCCGTACTATCTGTTTACGACAAGAATAGACCCAGCCACAGTGTCTGGCGGGTGGCAGTCGCTGTAGCAACAGGGCTAGTATATTTGAAATAGGGGCGAACCAAGGGTTGCTTTATTGTTATTTTGTCTTTGGCGACTGTTGGCTGAGTGGAACACCCTTACGAAAAATGGGTCATAGCTCGTTTTTATGGCAGGAGACAACTGAAAACTAATTGACGAGAGCTTTTCTTATGATAGACAGACTGCAGGGAACTTGCTTTCCTAAAGACAGCTCTACTGTGACAAGGTCACGCAGATGTTCCTTATCTTGCCCTCCAAGGAAATAGTTCCCAGACAAAGGGGCTCTTGCATGGGGCTTAGAATGCGGTTTGGAGATTGCAACTGTACCTGCTTCTTACCCGAGGGGATAGTATTCTCGCTACGATTCAGCGTATGAAAAGCGACGGGAGAGTCGAGGTTTGGACATCGTGAAGCGAGGTTGTTTCAAGAGAGCGTAGACGAATACTTCAGTTAGTGTGTACGGGAGTTATAAATTATCCTCTGCAAGTTCAACGAGCCGACTTTTCCAAGACCGTATGTCCACCGGGAAAACTAGAGTTCTGAAGTATTTTCTGAAGCATTGTTCTGAAGTATTTTGTTGTGCTAGGGGATTTAGCACGGACTAATCTTTCCGAATGTGCTGTTGTTTTAGCAAACTATATTTGTAACAGTTTAGAAGTACTATTGGATTAAGTGTTATTCACGTACCAGATTGATGTAATCTTAACTTTTTGTAATCTTATACATTTACATTTTTATTAAAATTCTCGCTATTGTTTTATAACTTGAGTTTGGAGTCATTTCAACCCTGAAATACAACAGAGGCTTTGGGTTGCGTGTTCGAACACTACACCATACTACAAATGATTCTTTTGATCGTAATGTAAAAATAATACTAAAAATAATTTAAAATAATATAAATTGGTCAAATGTAATAAATTTAGTCTTTATTTACATATTACAAAATATCTGAAAGAAAAAAATAGATTTAAACATTTAAAATTATTTTAGAAATTACAATGCATAATGTCAAGTCTAGCTCGACAAAGGAGTTGGTGTAAGAAATGCGATGTCGAGCTACACTCGACATAGGAGTCCTAAGGGTTAATGAAGAAATTCCAAGTTGTTCCAGACAGCAACACAGCTCAACATGCTTCCAGGCAATAGATAATAC